TGTGTGTGTGTGTGTGTGCGTGTGTGTGTGTGTGTTTTAAATTCCAACTCAGGCGAAAAAAACATATGGTACTCCAAACCATTTACGATTATCGACTAACGATTTGTCCCTAGAACAATCTGGCAAAAACTGAAATTTTAATCGTTTACAATAAAATTTCAATTTCATGTTTTGTGAATTTAGCAAGAACTAAAGCGCTTAGAAAAGCAGGCAAAACTAGCCAAACCTTCATGAGAAGCAAATTTTTCGGTCCATTAGGTCCAGCTTGAAGTTCACACATGAATCTAATAAGACGAGTCTTGCCACATCCTGTCTCTCCCATGATAATTACTGGTATGCCACACCTTTTTGAAATAAAAATATACCTTTTGCTTCAATGAAGCATTGAAACAAGCTATGGGAGGCATCCATTTCGTACATACGCTAAATTTCTTTTCTACTGGCGACCCTAATGTTTTCTTTTGGATGTGGTTGGTAGTTTGCTTACCTATACCGACTAGTTTCGCTTTCGTTGCTTGCTTGTGACACAGCAAGACAAAAAAAGACTTATTGCTTCTTCAAATGTTTATGTATTGTGGCAATGCTAAACGATCACACGAATAGCCATTGCCGACCAATTCCAAACGAAAAAGTTTAAAAAAATGCATTTTCCGACCTACCTTTACCGTATTCATTATAATTTTGGTTAGACCTTATTCCAAAATCAAGCGTGCATGGTGACAAATCTGACCGTGTTTGCCTTATCTAGTTCAAGTGTCTTCAAACTTCTGTGACGCGCGTTCAACTGATACCTCACTGAAAAGTACTTTATTTGTTGAAATAAAGTTACTTCTATTCGCAAAAAATCATTTTGCGTAGCCTACATACGAATGAATGGTTTTGTTCCCACGCCCTTTGTACGCAAATATGCATCAATCACACCCCCTCTCCCTCATCCCGTGTGTACTTACTAAATGGATGCCCCCTGGTCACATAATTTTCCGAATCTAAAAAATATATGGTATATGTATGGTATATCGAACATATATCTCAGTATGTCCTCAGTCAGTATAAGCACATTAGATAACTAGAAAATAAAATTAATCTATTATTTCCAGTTAATAAAATAACACCGCAGAGATGGTACAGAAATTAGTATTTGTTTTAGCCTGCGAACAGGCTCTCAAGCTGAATTGAGAGCCTGCATCGGTGACTAATGAATTTGAATATCTGCCCCGGAACGTTCGTTTTTCCAAATATGGAATGGCTATCCTTATATGGTGTTGTTTACAACTTTTGTGCAAACTAAATTTAGACCGTGCAAACTAAATTTAGACCGTACAGTTTATACTGTTTTTCGAAATATAAGATATTCAAGCAAAAGTTCAAATATTTTAAATACTGTTTTCTCAAAACAGAACATTTCGTGCTTTGAGATAAGATGGCCAAAACTAATTTGATCAGTTAATGTGTTTTTTTTTTATGCAGTGCTGCTTCAGCAGTTGACATATATAGAGCTCAGCGGAAACATATAAATTATAGCATCTGACCAATGAGAATTTCGCATCACGATTTGAGACGCAGATATTCAAAATCATTAGTCATCGATGCAGGCTCTCAATTCAGCTTGAGAGCCTGTTCGCATGCTATATTTGTTTAGGCAGACCATCATTAGGTGGAAAAGCACAGACGATCTTTATGGTCGCTGTGGGGTCATAAGTATAAAAACAATAAACCTTTGAATAGGGATAACAAAGTAGCTAGACTGGAATGTCTAAACATTGAATTGTGAACGCAACTATGGCGGTCGCAGTGGGAATATAAGTATAAAAACAATAAACCTTTGAATAGGGATTACGAAGCAGCTAGACTGGAATGTCTAAACATTGAATTGTGAACGCAACTATGGCGGGTGATGTGTGTCAAAATTCAATAACACATTTGGCAATGATAACGTAACATTTTGCTACAATAATAACACATTTGGCAATGATAAGGTAACATTTTGCAACGTTTTGCTACAATAATAACACATTTGGCGTAGATAAAGTAACCTTTTGCTACAATTTTGTAACGGTTACAAGACATTTATTAATAATAACAAAAAATTCAATGACAAAGTATTACTTTGCAGCAATATAAACGTGTTGTTTTAATATTAGCCAACAATCGTACATTTGGCAATTACAACCTCGTGATGCAATTGGGAACTAGTTTCAAATGGCGCGAAAATGGTGCATTAATGGCGCGTAATTATTTTCACACATATTTTCACGAACATCGAAGAAAACGGAGTACGAACTGCTCTTATAACGGGATTGGAAATGTTATCAGGGTTCGTAGTCTCCAAGACCGAAAAAATTCAGACTTTCAAAGATTTCTTCTGCCTATTTTCAAAGACTTTTCAAAGACCTTTGAGAGCAATCAGCAGTCGAAAAATTGCGAGTGTAAGCACCTTTTTTAGTTCCGTCAAATCACATCCTAAAATGCGTCTTTTCGTCGATATTTGCGAAAATCTTGCTTCAATCAATCTATTTTATTAGCTAGGAAATCGTATAATCAATTCCTCACTAAACAATTTAAAGACTTTTAAAGACTTTCCTCGCTTTTTCACACAATTCAAAGACTTTTCAAAGACCTTAAAGACCTGCATTCAAATTTAAAGACTTTCAAGGATTTCAAAGACCGCTACGAACCCTAGTTATTGACTGATGTAACGGAATGCGTTTCAACAGAGCTTGATGATGTTATTGATCGTATTCGCGATTTTTCTGAAGACCTTTATCGATGCCCAGCAAATCTGACGGCACGAAATCCCGAAATTTACAGCGAATTGCTACATTAGTTCGAACTTCTCGTAGATGTCATACAACGTCCTATTAAATAATGAAAATTACGGACTGGAAACACTGGGAATCATCCCAAGGTCAGCGCCAGGTAGACCAGCTGCAGTATTTGATCGAACATAACTTCACTGCTGTTCAAATAAGCAACATGCCAGGAATCTCACTAAGTACAATCAGGCGACGCATGCACGAACAAGAACTAAATACGTCCCAGCCATTTTTTGCATTAGCTGACGAAGAATTAGACAGTGTAGTTGTTGAGATAAAAAATCATCATCCAAAATATGGCTATAGAATGGTGCTCGGGCACTTGAAGGTACGACAGTTAGATGGATGGCTGCAGTTTACCGAAGGAAGTATTCTGTCAGGGGATCTCATTCCTTGTGGCACATTGATGGTTACCATAAACTGATCAGGAAATATGTTAAGCTTTAAGGGCACGACAGGCCTGATTAGTTCGCATTTTACCATCACCACGATGGTACACAGAATAGATACCACGCAGAAGTATATAACTAGGGTAATCGCTGCTACGCCATGGTTCGTCATAAAAATGAAGATGCCATGGGCCAGTGCACTTATGAGAGGCATTCATTACCTGAATAGTCACCATTTTCAATACTTACAGGGAGTGAATGCCTCTCGTACGCACACTGGCCCATGAAGTCAGCATTGCAACGGTTACGCCCAAATCATAGGCGTCATATTGAAGTCATGCTTCTGTGTGTACTTATTCTGTGATAATTGTATAAGGATAAACAGAAAAATAGTAGGCATCATTTGGATGCATTACAGCTAACATTAAAGAGGCTGTCAAGTCCGTTCTGCTCATGCGCGTGTTTTGTTTACATTTATTAAACGGTCCAAAGTTGTCTGTTTTGCAAAGGTTTCCCTATAGAGGAGAACATATCAAATCGATAACCATTAACTACAGTACCTCAAGATTATATTTCTTCTCACACTCCATTATGTGCATTTTTAACTGAAGTATTGGCACATTTTTGTCGCAGGATCTTCACTCGTCACTTGGCCATGATTTCTAATTGTAATAATTACAGCAGAAATAATTAGCAGTAACTAAAATGTTGTATGTATATTTAGTGGATGCAAATCAAGCATCCAGCAACAGAGTGCAGAAACTACATTACCCATGGTACTTATAGTACTAAAAAAAACCCAAATAAATTAATAAAATGGCAAGAGCGGAGGTGACAATTTCTGCTGCCCAGTGGAGGGAGCCTAGGAACAGCGGAAATATACTTGTGATGATAAGAGTAATATAAACTAGGACATTAGAAGGGAGTACAAATTTAGCCATGTACTCCCTATTGACCTTATGCAACAACACCAGTGAATAGTAAGAATGTCATGAAAACGAGGCTACCTGCTACAGTAGGGTGCAGACCTTTCAAATGCATCTAGGGAAACTGTGGAGTTCATTTTCAAGTTATCGAATTAATAGCAAATTAGCAATCAAGTATATTTATACCATAATACATGCATGTATATCTGCTTTTAAGATTACCTCGTCTGACGTAACACTTTGCTTGCTTGCTGAAGAACGTCTTTTAAATTCTCAATACTATAAGTTGCAGAACCACATGAAACAAGAATCGCCTCTAGCGATTTGCTTTTGGACCCAAAACCCGTTCTCATCAACTCGATATCACGAGCATCTAATAGCAGTGGAAATTCTTCCAAAAAAACTTATATAGATCGTCAAATCCCTCTCTGTAAATTTCAATTGTTATTTTCTTTTCACCAAGATCAGCGGATTTCAATTCGTACCTTTCTTGAGGGGAAGGTAAGAGGACGTGGCCTTTTTTAGCAAGGCAAGCAAAGGCATGATGCGTCCAAGTCGCACCTTTCGTTGTCTTCGCCTTCGCACTATTTCCACTTTTCCCGCCGTATCGGTTTCGTTTCCCAGAAGATCGTATGTTACTATTACCGACAGATTGCCCACAAAACCGAAACATACGTCGATGCTCATCGATTGCGTGGTGACAGGTATCCAAATGCTGGTTTTGAATATTTGATGAATTCTCGGTATGTGTTGCCAGCGTTGGTTATATCGCTCTTGTTGAAATTGTGTTGGCAGATGAATTTTGTGGCAAATTGGCCACACCATCCAGTAGCTGTACAATAATATCTCTAGCCTGTACTAGAGATGACTGAATATCACCTGACGCCGAAGCTCTCCCGTTTTCCGCCATGTTTACTTTAAAAAGCACATGTAATTCAATGTCGCGAAAATAATTACGCGCAATTTATGCACTGTCTTCGCGCCATTTGGAACTAGTGCCAAATTGCATCACGGGATTGTAGTTGCCAAATGTACGATTGTTGCCAAATATTAAAACAATACGTTTATGTTGCTGCAAAGCAATAGGCCTACTTTGTCATTGAATGTTTTGTTATTGTTAATAATGAATGTTTTGTTATTGTTAACAAGACACAGCCACAAAATTGTAGCAAAAGGTTACTTTATCGAAGCCAAATGTGTTATTATTGTAGCAAAATGTTACGTTATCATTGCCAAATGTGTTATTGAATTTTGACACACATCACCCGCCATAAGCAGCTAGTTAATTTACTTCCAAGTAGATTACACAATCAGTAAATGAACAAAAATTTCTTTGAAGTGCGTAGTTAAAATATTCCTTGCTGCATACATGGTTAGAAAATTTTGATTGATACATCAATGTTTAATCATCAATTATCAATCATGTTGACATTAGCCAGGATAAATAAAAACTAACCTGAATCGCATGTGAATTGCCAATATTTTCTTAACATTATCTGTGGTGAGTTCATATGTGGGATCTGGATCATAATCTGGGATCTGGATCATTCCCATGACACTGCATAAGTTCGCAATACGTGCCATCCTTTGATAAAAGGAAAGTATTGATCGTTATATTTTTTCTTATACATGAGTGAAACAAAAAATGTTTATTCCCGAGCCAACGAGCGCCGTTCCGGGCGTTAGCCCGTGACGAGGGTACTAATTCCGCCCGGCTATTTACACCCGGGGAAAGGAACGCATTAGCGAAGTCTAAAGTTCATCAAATACCGTGGGCGCATGGCTATGATCCAAGGGTGGCCCTCCTCACTGAACTAAAAAATATGGCTGTTTGCCAGGAGTGGAATAAGCACACTGAGGATATTAAAGCAAGATTTCAATTTTCAAAACCATATATTTGGAAAATCACGTTTCACACAATGAGCTTTGAAGCAATTTGTGTTTGAAAAAATGAGAAGAATTGATTTACTATGGAAAATCGTGAAATATAGGGCAAGTTTGCTTTGAATGTTTAATGTTTTATGATTATGAATTTTGTTGCTTTAATAATTTATTGCGTAAAACATGCACTGCTGTTTTCCTTTTCAAAGAAGCTATAAGTTTCCTAAATTACCCTGTTAATTTAAGAAAAAAATGTATAAATGTATAAAAGGAGAGCAAATGAAATTATTCAACTATTTTTGCCGTATTGTGCAAAAGTATAATAAATATTAAAATTATCTTATCGTGTTGCCATGGCAACACTGACGTAAACGAGAGCCTGCGTTCATCAGTGTTGATCAATTATACTAACACTTCATGTTAAATCAATGTTTGGAAAATAAGGGCGAGGGGTTGCTGCATGCATGTATTTCTAGTATATCACGTTATATATACAACCTGTCACGTTTCTCGTAGTTTACATCAAAATCGACACCCTGATGTTTAAGTTGATCTCTTAACGTAGGCTCCATCAACCTTTGTTCTAAAATACTGTTAGTTCCAGGATCAAGCAAATCACCCTTCTTGCTGAGTAGAAATCCCAAGAAAGTCATGCTGTTACGGTCGTGATTGAAAAAGATGTAAGGATGGGGACTGTAAGAAAAAAATGTTATTATAAGATTTTGAGATCCACACGAAAGATGAAAAAACGGTGATTAGATGATCAGACATGAAACATTTGTTAAAATACCAGTAAGTGCGCAAAGAATGAAGAGATTTATATATAAAACTGAAGCATCCATATAACAATATATTTATTATGAATACTCCAATAAGTTACGCAATAAGTTATTGTAATTAAAAATTGCAAGAGCATGCATGCATGACAACAAAATCCAGTGGAATTTGAGTAGACAGTCGCTGAGTAAACGTTTATTCAACAAGAAATTCTTAACTGTACAGTCGCATTTTTTAGCGAAATTATTTATAAAGTGTAGAAATATTTAAATTATTATAAATATTATTAGAAATATTATAAACTACTAAAAATCATGTGCTTAGCATAACTATTATAAATATCAGTGATATTCCACCAAAATTTTTTTACGTTATATTTTTTGAAACAAGAAATGTATGGAAAGGGAAGCGCTGCTTGCCATTAAATCACTGGAAAAATAGAATTAGTATTTTGACTAAAAATGTAAATAGAATAATGCACCAACTGTGACTCAAAATTTTGAGTAAGATTATTCCTAAATTTACAAGCAAATTTACTCAATTTTTTAAATTAAAGTTTCAAATTTACTGCATCAAATTTGATCATGTTTGAAACAAAAGAAAGGAAGCATATAGTTTTCTAATTTCTTCATAAATAATCAGGAAATGTGGACTCTGTGTACGTTTGCAAAAGACGTTTTTGTTTTATGCACCTTGATTCCCAACGTCTTCGTATTTTAAATGGAGTTAAATCATCATCTTCTTCTGGTCTAGATGCATCTTCAACGCCCAAGATATTGTCACTCAGTGATCTAGTGGCAAAATCCTACAAGACGAGAACATACTATCTATAATATATTCTAAAATATTATTTGGATCACAATATTGACTATTTATGAACTATTAACGAGGCCATGATGAAAAATATCAAACTAACAAAAACGTTTGTGTAGCCAAACGCGAACATTTCGAACTTGACGAACAGTTCTGTTCGTTCTGCACTGGCTAAGAAAGGGCAAGAACAGTTGAAATTAAGGAAAAGGCTTTGATGCATGCTCGATAAAAGAAAAACTTTAAAGATTGAAATGGAAACATTGGAACACGAGAAAGAGTTGGCAACGGTCCAAGCAAGAGAACAATACTGCAAACAAAATGTTTTAAATCTTTAAAAGTACACTAACATCACTAATAGACCCTTACTATAATAATATCGTTACTACAAATCTGCACCAAAATGATTGAGTCGTTTCGTTCAGTTACAAAAATTAGAATATTATTGCTGACGTCAACATTCTTTTCGAATGCTGTTAGTGGTGTGTAATACACGCAATTTAGTTTTAAACGTTTGTTTAATTTAATAAGGTATTATCTGACCTTAAAAAGAATCGATAAGTATTTGGGTTAAATTTAAAGATAAACATTAAATCCCAGCATATGACTTCCAGCATATTTGAGCCAAAATAACCAAATTCTTAAACATTCAATTGGATAGTACTTTTAAACCTTATTTAATGTTTTTTATAAATTATGTAAATACATTTTGACAACATTTGAAAATTTTCAACAATATTTTTATTCAAATAAATCAAGGAGAAAAAATCTCGTTGAAACGGTCAAGAAAGCATACGAATATCATGATTTCCATTGTTATCATGATTTTTATAATAATAATTATTATTATTATTATTATTATTATTATTTATGATTATGGGATTATGGTTGTTACTGCTGTAATAATATACATAAAAATATTACTTGACTGTGATTGGTTGATTTCAGTGCAGTTAATCCCAAACAGGCAGTGCAATTTTCTGTAATCACAGTGCAATTTTTTGTAGGCCTAATCACAGTGCAATGTTCTGTAATCACAGTGCAATGTTCTGTAATCACAGTGCAAAAGTGGAAAAATATTTTCCAAAAGTGGAAAAATATTGTGATGGTAAAATCTACCAATCAGTTTAAAGCAGTTTAGTTTAACGGTCACAGATTGCTTCAAAACAAAACAAACATGGTGCCGCGCTACATAAAGTAAAAGTTGACTTCGCGTGGAAAATATGGCTTTTATCTTTATTTTTAAATGGAAAAGCCTTTGCCTTAAACAAGACTAACAAAACTTACACTGTTGAGTGGAATTTTCAAGCTGTTAGCGTTGTATAATGTGATATAACAAAGCCAGGAAAACTTTGCCAGTGGAATGTTCGCTATAAACGTATTAAAGTTAAAACTACAATTGTCTCGAACATTTTTAAAGGCATTTGAAAAACTCAGTCGTGCATATTATATCCAAATTGCACTCGAAACCATGCTATTACCTATACTTATTGTTATTGTTGTTGTTAATTGAGAAACTTACACGAGACATCTGAATCATAAAACGAACGGCAAATGTCCTAAAGCCTTGCAAGAGATCACCAACCAATACTGGGTCACAGAAAACGCTTTCTTCACAGTCACGCAGCTGGATGTTCAAAAAGTTTACAAAATGATGAAGTTCTGCCCAAGATGAATCACGGATTCCACAGTATCTAAAACATGTTTTGCCAGATTGTATATGAGTTCTGATGCATTTACACCTATATTATTATTACACACATTTACTTACTTATGGCAGTAATTAACCTACTACTGCAAAGAAAACTTATCCGGAGAAAAATTAAAACGGCTTTATATTTAACAATTATATACCATGAGCTCGAGTCGTATATGAGCTGATAGCTGACAAGGCGCGTAGTACCGAGTCGGCTATCAGCCATATACGACGAGAGCGAATGGTATAATTGTTTTATAATATAGTCCAATAGCCATTAACTGAAGCAATAATTAATTATCCTCTGTTACAATGTCTAGTGACAATTTGTTCGGCCAAAAACCGCTTGGCCTTGTAAATTTGAAATACTTTTGTTTTACAACTCCAAGACGAAGTGAAAGAAATGGTTTTAAAACCGGTATATCTCACAGTAAAGCTCAGATATATTATACAGTAAGTGCTTGTTCACTGCAAATTCATTTGTCTTTCGTTGCAAACTTTTCTGAACAATTTATATTCTCAATGAACATGTTTTTTTCGCTGTTGTTTCGGTATTAATTCTTTAAAAAAACTTCTAAATTAAAAAAAAATTCTATGTAATAAATGTATTTCGCTAACCTGTCAAATTTTTTTGAGAGTTTTTCCTTGTACTATTATCTTTCCAAAGCGAGTATTTTCCTTTTTTCCGGTTCGCAAAACTCATGCAGTTTTTGTACCCCCATCTTGTTTTTCGCTACTCGCCGTATACGAGCTGATATACGGCGAGTAATTCAACCAATCAGATTGCAGAACAGCTCATATACGGTGAATGATTAGATTATAAACACTATTATCTTTCACTGTTTGTTAAAAGTGGTGTTAAATAAAAATGTACAAAATAACACCTTTTTGAGTACTATTTTAACACCATTATGTACAGACTCAAAAACCTTTGGTGACAGAATAGCACTGATTTAGCAGTTATTTTAATAATCTAAGCTTGAAAATAGCACAAGATTTTAGTGCTTTTTGAATACTAGTTTCAAAACTGTAAAACAAATACTAAAAATATATACCTCATCGATTCAAAACAAAAGAAACTATTAAACAATTATAGCACAATATTAACTGACTCCAAATTATTTGTGGCTTCATGTACATGTATATAAGCTATACAAATTTGAGGGAAATCGTGTGACAACAACTGAATGGACAAATTTCCAATTACAATATAACGTCTATGCTTTTTTGTTATCAACTCCTAATTCTTAATCAACCTTACTTGATTATAATCTTCAAAGCTTCAACTGATGCCTTCAAGTCGTCCTCACCAATGATGACAGAAGGTTTGTATATAAAGGAAAATTTGTCTAAGTTTGAGCCGTTTTCAAACTGCGTAAGATACTGAAATGTTCGTTGGTATTCTTCACTGTGGAACTTTTCCATGTCAAATCCTGTATCTCCTGCAAACAAAAGTTGAACTGTTAAACCTATCGCAGTGACTAGATGCAAGCAAGGTCCGCCTGAGGTCTAATCTTTATATCAATCTTCTTTAATTTTATACTTTTATACTAACTATTTCACATAATTTCTGTTTACAAATATTTCAGTATAGCATAAATAGCAAATTTTCGCAATTCCATAACTCATTGCGCATTCCAAAGTACATGGAGAGTAGTTTCCATGTTTTTGTTCTTTTAATATATTAACATCTGTGTAAGGCCCGGTTTAGCCGCCGTGCTTTTCATGAGCCGAACTTAATAGAATGAATGAAGCACATGAGAAGCTAATTTAAGCACGGCGTCTAAATCAATTAAGCACTGCACATAATATTAAGCACGGCTAAATTAATATGTTCGCCTGGTTCAGGCGTGCTACACGGCTGAAGCACATGTTGATTTATACTGCCGTGCTTTACATGAGCCGTACCAAATGCATAAATTATGATAAAATAGAACATTGATAGTACGCGAGCGTTGATTGGTCGAGAAGCGTGTTTCTACACGGGAAATTTCCCGCCTAACCTTACAATCGTAAACAAAACAATTTTAATGCAAATTAAGAAATTTTAAAAACAATTTTACCTACTCAGCTCATTTTGTAACTGTTACACTGAAAATACAAAAACCTTCCCACTTCCACTTCTGTAGCTTGTTTTGTATTTCTGTAATTTGTTCTATTTTTTCTGTAGTAATTATAAGTGATTTAATACCGCTTTATCGGCAAGTATCGCGGTAGAATTTCCCTTTCTTTTCTTTATATACGTCAATTTGTAGCAAAGGATACACCTTTCGTTAGATTCTTTGCATAAAAGTTGCGAAATTAGGCTTATAGCGATATTTGCTGATAGGCAAAAAGGGTTTCTTGCAGTGAAACTGATGGAGCACAGGTCGGCATTATTACGTAATGAGAATTTGTAAATATATCGAGTCTATCACAAATCTTTTTTTAGTTATATTATGAAATAAATATAAAACATTTATTATGTGTGACCCGTACAGTTATAGAAACACTTGTAGTAGTTTGGAAGAACTCCAATAACGTGGAAAAACTCGCCCTAAGCCTATAGGTCTCGTTTTCCCACACATTATATCCAGCCATTATCTATGTTTGTAGTAATAAAGCTTTTCAAAAAGCAGTTGAAAATTTTAATAACCGCAAACCTGTAGACGCTCAGAAATGTCAAGATTGTATGTGATAAACCCTTTTTTCTTATTATAAAATGTCACTCGCCCCAGCTTTGGAAGTGAAGCAGCGCAAATTATTAAGTATACGGCTCATGAAAAGCACGCCAGTCTAAATCAAAATTAGAAGTACGTCTATTTAATCGAGTAAAATATGAATTAAGTTCGGCTGATGAAAAGCACGGCGTCTAATCCGGGCCTAACAGAGCCTTTACAGTAATGTTTATGCATGAAAGGTCAGTATCCAGTGTGCCGATAAAAGTATTGCAATACAGGTACAGGTAGTAGATAGGAAGCTACCGGCCAGCATTCTTTGTCGATTTTTAAAACAGGAAATAAATTGCATTTAGTCACGTACGTGGTGTATTTTTTACAACATTGGCGGCATCACTAGTGTCGTATATGGAATGTACAAACACGAGCTGATCAAGGTGAGTATATTCATTAACTACGGACGCGGATGTTGAATTTGAAATGGCATGCAAAACACACGAGTTGTTATGTACTAGATAAAACATGAGCAGCCGATCTGTATCTGATCCAGCTAGCTAGGAGCCGATCTGTATCTAAGTTTATGTAAATCAGGACAAATCTTTATTCGATTTACAAACATTGATTAAACATTAATTTCTTTTGTATTTTCCTCGTGAATTATTAATGAATTTTTTAAAGTCATTTATAAAATAGCCTTTTAAAAACACGGGCGCTGGTTGGTCAAAAGCTAAAAAAAACGTGTTTCTATTTAACAATTAGTCGCCGAAGGCGAGGTGATTACAAGCCTATATTCACTGAGCCGAAGGCGAAGTGAATATAGGCTTGTAATCACCGAGCCTGAGGCGACT